GGATGCCGGAAGTTGCTGGGGGCAAGGGGTGCAATTGGTTAACAAGAGGGCATATTCCTTAACAAAAGGGCACTAATGAAAATGAAAGGGCATCTAAAAATTATTTTTGGCGACCTCCCCCGCCCCTCCCCCCCGTCGCCAAAAATTTTTTGGTCAGTGTACCATTTTAGGGGTAAAAAAATTTTCCGGTCATACCACAATTTCTCCTAAATACGAAAAAAAATTTTCTGGACATACCGAAAAATTTTCCGGAAAATGTTATTTTTTCCGGAAATTAAAACATTTTTCCGGAAATAACATAGATTGAATTTTTCAAAAATGCCCTTTGCGCAAAAAATGCAATTTTAATGAAAATTTTTCACGCAAAAAGGGCACTTTGTGCACCCGTTGCACCCGTATTCTGCACCCGTACTGCACCCACAAAGTTGAAAATGCAAAAGGCAAGGGGTGCACTTGCACCCGCTGCACCCGTGGTTCCAGCATCCCTGCTTATATATTTCTGTCCATCCTTCCCGCTTTTATATGCACCTATATTTCCGCGAAAAATTACTCATATGTGAAGCTACATATGAATACTAGGACTTTACAATCACGTGCGAGACATATTACCACCCGATAGAGTCACATACGACAAAAGAATCCTATTTTTACTGGCTCGTATTTATGAATTTACAATTGTATGAACCGTTAGATTGTGATCAAAGTGGATTTCTTAATACGCTCTCGCTTGATATAAACGTACGTTAATCAGTGGCGTACGTAGCGCTCATTGGGTAGGGTTAGTTCCAAAACTAAGGGTTCCCGACAGTTAGGGGCCCCATCACCCACGGCCTATCGCCCAGAAAATTAGAAAATGTAAAAAATGCAAGTTAAGAATCAATGGGAAAATGCAAAATTAATAATGCTAAAGAATTAAACCTCCATCGACAACGGTGGCTGCATGAATTTTTTTATTCCATCTCAAATAAAACAAATGTTATTCTTATTAGCTGTTACATGTGTTGAAGACTGTTATTGCCATATAGACATGGAATTTTCCAGAACATTCTATAAATACTCAATATAAAAATATATCTCATGAGTCAAACAATGACAACAGTCAACAGGGGCCCCCACACCAAATATGCCTAAGGGCCCCCTATTCCTCCGTTACGCCACTGACGTTAATGAATAAGTGATACTTTAGTTACAAGCCTGGAGATGGCTGTCAAAATTCAGCGGAGTTTATGTGTCAGAATGAAATGACATGTGAAAACATTTTGCAAGATTGAGGCATCAAATGCGATGTTATTTTCTTATCCAATCTTTTTAGTGTGAAGTTTCACTTCACACTATTGTGATGGCTGGCGAATTCACACGAATCAGTCAGTCAGTCAATCATAGAGTAAACTTTCCGGGGGGTGTATACGATTTATGTTCGCAGTGATTTATTGTACTTAGTCAGTGCTTTGAAGGTTATTTAAGCAATTTTATTTATTTTCTTTAAATATTCTTTTGTCCTTTTGCCAAGTTCACAAAAATTTCGAGGAATCGTTGTCGTTATTGTAAGTTTTTGTAATTTCAGAACATTCGCTTCTCATGTTGTGTAAAGGATCTTTCCCCCCGGAACACCCGATTTTTTCTATATAGCAGGGCAAATACGCATGCGCTATGAAGCCGTAGATCACGATGCTAGGAAGGAGCGACAGTGTTGTTTTCAAATGTATAAATTTAAACATTTCAAACGTGAATATTGAGTAAATCTTTGAGAATTTACGCAATATATAAATTTATGTTATGCATGACGGTCTTTCAATCAAGTACTGATATACTGTATGTGGACGGTAAATTTATTAATATACAGAGCTAGGAAGGAGCGACAGTGTTGTTTTCAAATGTATAAACATTTCAGACGTAAATAAGGAGAAAGTCTTTGGGATTGTAGGCATTCAATTGAGTGCCGATATTATTTTCACGTCATACTCGTTATACAGAGGTACAGTATACGTATGCAGAAGCGAGACAGTGTTGTTTTCAAGTATATGAATATTTCAGACATGAATATTGAGAAAATCTTTGTCCTTTGAGATTCTACGCAATAATACTATTATGTTGTGCATTACCGGTATTCAATTAAGTGCCCATCGATATTATTTAGACCGTGTATTCATTATACATTGTCATTGACTGTATAAGGTGCTACATCACAGAATAGATGGCTACGCTCAGTACAAAGAGCGAAACAACTATTAACTTGTACGGCGTTTACGAAGAAAATAACTTGCGAGACTAAAGAAATCAGTTGAGTCTGAGCTCCTTATTTAAATAAGAAAGACGAGGAGATAGCCAATGCGTTATCGCCAACGTGTTATCGCCAATCGCTTGGCTCGCCAGCAAGCTTTATGCAATAGAAAAAAAAGCAAGGAGGTACATGTAGCCAACGTTACCGTCAAAGGCTTTGTCTTTGTTTACTGTCTAGCACAACGCCGTTGTCAACGGTGCAAACTCTTGTTCAGTGCAACGATAACTCTACCAAATCTTACGAGAATCAATCTGTAGTATTCTGTACACAGAACTGTTCAAAGCTTGTCAAAACTGCTTGATTAAACACTGCTTAACTGTGAAACTATTGAAATCTAAACTCTAAAGTGATATTATTCAACACATGCGAAAAGCTGAAAATAGACGTGACACTGGGAAAAGTCAAAGGTCAATGAGACTTGTTATTGTGAAGCATGTCACAATTAGGTTAAAATGCGGGAGCGGATCCACGGAACGGATATGCGGATAAAATACGGAACGGATGAGGATAAAATGCGTCCTTTTAATGATGTAACGACGTAGTGCTTATTATTCATAACATATCTTACAAAGCTATTTCAATTATAGTTTTAGATAAATTTAGCATAGCAGTAGCCTCGTGGGGAGCTTTTAGTGACAGCTGCAAATGCAAATGAAAATTTAGAATATGCAAAATTTGGTTGTTGGTGAAACCATTTAAATTTTGAATTGTCTCGTGTAGCATCGTGCAGCATCACAATAAACAGATAAATTGCATCAGTTTCACAAGTCACGTTTCTGGTGTGTTAGGCTTGTTTCAAACGTCACGCTACTCGTGTGTCGAGCGTATTAAAAGCAATAAATAATGAGATGAATTGCCTTTGGTAACTGTTTATTTCGTAGTGTAAGCCATCAGCTTTTCTAGGTACCGGTTGTCGGCGACCATATATAGTTCTTGCAGTGTCTTTTTCAATTCGAAACTTCACACTATCCTTGGATCCCTAGTTTGTTTTTGTTATCACGTTATTATTATTGACTGTTGTAGCAATATTTATTGGAAAGTTTGTATTTCAGCCGTTGGTACTTGTTACGGAATGGCTATGTAAACGTGGTTAAAAATATTTTGACTTTGTTGTTTCTGGTGGCATTTGCCGACTCTCGACTTTTTACTCTCGATCGACTCTCGACTTTTTACTCTAACATTTTTACTAAACATTTGCACAAAGATTTTAGCACATCCGGTGACCAGCCTCTGTCAGGGCCTTTCCTTAACGAGAAGAGAGACCCTGGATACAAGCTGGTTGCTAAGCTTACCTGTAATTTTTGACAATTTTTCAATTACATTACTTGTGAAGTTTTCTAGATGTTTATATCCTCGTTCTTTGGCAATTTCCAATGCTTTTTCATAGTATTCCATTGCCTTTAGAATCTGATTGTTTAATTTAAAAACATCTCCTAACCAAATGTATGTCTTTGTCTCCTCTAGTTTATATCCTCGTTCCTTTGCAATTTCCAAGGCTTTTTTATAGTATTCCATTGCCTTTTGCTGTTCAATTTATAAGCTTCTCCTAACCCAAGGTATGCGCATGTTTCCTCGTGTTGATATCCTTGTTCTTTTGCAATTTCCAAGGTTTTTTCATAGTAATCCATTCCCTTTTGAATCTGATTGTTGAATCTATAAACTCCTCCCAACCCAAGGTGTGCGCGTGTTTCCTCTAGTTTATATCCTCGTTCTTTTGCAATTTCCAAGGCTTTTTCCATAGTATTCCATTGTCTTTTGAATCTGATTGTTCAATCTATAAGCATCTCCTAACCCAAGGTAGGTGTGCGTTTCCTCTAGTTTATATCCTTTTCCTTTTGCAATTTCCAAGGCTTTTTCATAGCATTCCGTTGCCTTTTGAATCTGATTGTTCAATTTATAAGCTTCTCCTAACCCAAGGTAGGCGTGTGTTTCCTCCTGTTTATATCCTCGTTCTTTGGCAATTTCCAAGGCTTTTTCATAGTATTCCATTGCCTTTTGAATCTGATTGTTCAATTTATAAGCTTCTCCTAACCCAAGGTATGCGCAAGTTTCCTCGTATTTATATCCTCGTTCTTTTGAAATTTCCAAGGTTTTTTCGTAGTATTCCAAACCCTTTTGAATTTGATTGTTCAATATATAGGTTTCTCCTAACTCAAGGTATGCGCGTGTTTCCGCGTGTTTATATCCTCGTTCTTTGGCAATTTCCAAGGTTTTTTCATAGCATTCCATTCCCTTTTGAATCTGATTGTTCAATTTATACGTTTCTCCTAACCCAAGGTATGCGCGTGTTTCCTGCTGTTTATATCCTTGTTCTTTTGCAATTTCCAAGGCTTTTTCACAGTGTTCCATTGCCTTTTGAATCTCATTGTTCAATCTATAAGCTTCTCCTAACTCAAGGTACGCGCATGTTTCCAGCAGTTTGTATTCTCGTTCTTTTGCAATTTCCAGGGCTTTTTCATAGTATTCCGTTGCCGTTTGAATCCGATTGTCCCGTTTATATGCATGCCCTAACTCAATGTTTCCCAAGGATTCTGTCGTTCCGTCCTCCAGTTCCTTGGCTAATATCAAGGCTCGTTGAAAGTTTTCAACTGCCTGTTGAAAATTATGGCTTTCTCTATAAAAGCGTCCGGCGTTTAGGTACTCATCTAGCTGATGCTTGGTTGGTGTATTCCCCATTCTTCGTTGGTGTATGCGCGACTTGATCCAGTGTTCCATTTTTTTTATTACCGAATGTATAAATAAGATATTTGAAATAAAACCACGTTCTTCTTTTCAAATGGAATCTATATTAAGATAAATCAGTATTGTTTATTAAATGCTTTTTTATACATTTAATGTTAATTAAGTAGAGCGTGGTTGTCCAATTCGCCCGAGCCAGATACTGAGCTCATTACACCACTGCTTGGCAAGTAAGGTTTACAGATTTGGTTTTGGTGAAACGGAATGGTCTTCCACTTTCGCTTCACACACTTTGAAATTTATTATTCCGGTTGATAAAGTCGCAAAGGAACATGCCAATTCAAACAGTCCAGGTGGTGGCTCCATGTGAGAAGGGTGCACATGCAAGAAGGAGAAATCAACGTTATTTTGACAACGACGTTATATTGAAACCAATCATAAAATAGGAAAAGCAAAAATGTTTGGAATTTTTCATATTTTACGTTGTCATCAAACCGACCTTTAAGATACTATAAAAACTGTTTTACCTCAATTACCGTATTTACTCGATTGAGCGCCGCCCCCGATTGAGCGCCGTCCCCGAATGAGCGCCCACACTAAACAGTGTAAAAACTTTCCGCCGTCAAAATGGGGGCATTTAGTGACCAAAACCTGGTAAAACTTGTTTATTTTATTATTAAAAGTGCTTGTTATGATTCACGAATAGAAGATTTTTAAAGAACGCCGCCCCCGATTGAGCGCCGCCCCGAATGAGCGCCGCATCTAAAGTTCTGAAAATTTAAAGAGCGCCGCGCCGCTCAAACAAGTAAATACGGTACTTTTCATCCTTTACGTTACGGGAATACCTTCACCAAAAGTTATTTTCAAAAATGCTATATATGCAAGGTAGTCATTTTAAATTTAAGGGCCCGTTCCTATGTGTCTAGCGGACCAGGAAATTGCTAACTCTCATCCACGTTTGCTCATGGTATTATTGTGGTCCTTATAATTTATAATAATTAGTGAAAGGAGTCTGTTCCCGGCCTGACTGGGAGCAGACCTAATTTGAGGTATAGAATACGAAAGAAATATTTTTAAAAACGAGTCTTTTCGCGCGTCTATATAATGTCTTAACAGAAAACAAAGAAGAATTCGAATAAACAATTAAGAGATGCAGAGCAGACAAAAATGCTTTAAAATGTTGAATTAGCATTTTTAAACAAATTTGGTCAGCGATCATTCCGTAACGAGTGACTTCATAAAAGAGTGGCTTTGTTTGTGTTATGTATAGGACTAAGTATAGCTATGTGATGATATAATTATAAATTTTTAATCACTAATCTCCCGAAAGCCATGCCGTATTAGTTTGTAGTAGCATAGTTAAGTCCCCATCTGACAAACATTCCGTACTTGCAATCAGCGAATTTAAGCTAAAACATTTGCTTCTTTGCTCGGTGGGATGTAAAAGTTTGTTGCACATGCGCACTTTTACGCTTTAATCGGTTACGCATGTGCAATCTATCATTTAACGTACCATAACAAAACGATAAATATACATACTTTATACTTTATACTTTATTTAGAAATGGTAAATACATTGCAGCTATGAGCTGAATTGCGTATTATACTTACAATTAAAAATTATTAAAATTAGAGTTTTGAAATATATCAAAGTATTATAATTAATTAACTAAATTGTCAAAAGTGTCTGTTTATAATAAGCATGCAAAAGTTATTAAGAATATAAAAAAGGTAAATGAAGAGTAAAACCTATTCAGTTTTGCTACTCGATGCCATAATAAAACTATTATTAAACCGATTGGTTTTACAAACTGGAACGTCAAATGATCTAATAGATCTCAGGTCGTGGATGGAGTTATGCCTTGGTGGCAAGAGATAATGTAGACTGTGATTAGAATCTTTGGTAATTGCATTAAACAATTTCTTGCAGCTGTTTTGATGGTGAGTGGAAAGATGTACAATTCCACTGAGATTTAAAGCTTCCTCATATTTCAAATGGGGGATAAATAATTCCATATACGCGTTTCTGGACTCGTTCCAAATCTTGACTTAAATACTTGGGTAGGCTGTAGTGGAAAACCGGGACAGCATAGTCCAACACAGATCTTATACAGGTTATGTAAAATGTGATTAGTTCTTGTATTGGGATTTTTGCTCTCTTAAGTTGAATAAGGAAATATATTCTTTTGGAGGCTTTCTTGACTAATTCAGTGATATGTTTATTCCACGTAAGGTTGTTGCTAATGTTAAGACCTAGCACTTTAAAATCGGATACAACTTCTATGATTTGATTCTCAATTGAAATTGGGTTAAGCTTGGGTTGATTCCGTGCAAAAGAAATTCGTATCTCCTTACATTTATCAGCATTTAATTGCATTCTATTGATATTGGACCAATCTAAAATTTCATTTGCAATCAGTTGAGCTTCACTGTGCTCGCCTTGCAATACAACTTCCGACGCTGTGGTATCGTCAACGTATTTCCATAAGTTCTCACTATGTTTCTTCAAATCATTAATCATTATTAAGAAGAGCCAAGGGCCTAATTTGGTTCCTTGAGGAACACCAGCCGGTACTTGGCCCCATTCAGAAAGGCAACTATTTGACAGCTTAACCCTTTGATATCTATCCGATAAAAAGTCGATAATCCAGTTGATGATACTAGTTGGTAAATCTAAAGCACCTAACTTGATCCTTAGGATACTATGATCGATGAAATCGAATGCCTTTTTATAGTCAAATAGAAACACTCGGATAGTTGCTCCTGTTCCGTCCAGCATTGAGGTCCAGTGATGTAACATGTCTATTAAAGCAAAAGTGGTTGAAGAATTAGGAATAGAACCAAATTGATTTGAGTCGATGGATTTCAGAACCGCAGGTTTGATATATCTATTTACCACACATTCTTCAGCTACTTTGGATATGCTCGGGGTCAGTGAGATAGGTCTGAGATCTTTTTCTAAGATTTGAACTGTCTTAGATTTAGGTATAGGTAAAACATTGGCTAGTTTCCACATCAATGGAAGTCGTTGTTGCTTGAAGGAAGCATTTAAGATGGTACTAATTGGGAACGCTAATATAGCTGCATAATCACGAAGAAGCCAATTTGATATTTCATCAGGACCACAAGTTTTTGTAGGGTTCAGCTTTGATAAATATGAATACACTGTTTCTTCAGTGACTACTAAGAACTCAGGGTTGTTAACTTCTAGCTCGAAAGGAAGAAGGGGGCTGGACAGTTTATATACAGATAAGAGATCTAAGAAAGCTTCATTGATCTTGTTAGCTAATTCTTGCTCAGATAATTATTCGAGGTTTTCAATATCTATTATATTTCTAATATCACTAGATCTAGTAGATGCCATTCCACTTAAACGCTTTACTTCTTTCCACCATTCCTTGGAATCTGTTTGTTTCAATTGATGTACACGGAGTTTATAATAGTTTGATTTACAGATTTTCCTTTCTCGATTTACTTGGTTTCGAAGAGATTTAAAACTGCTCGAGTCAGGGCCATAGGTAGAAAAAGCTTTCTGCCTTTCAATGATCAGCGATTTGAAATGGTTCGTTATCCAGGGGGCATCGACAGGATATTTCTTTGATCGTGTCATCGGCATTAATATATTAACCCCAGTAAGGACTATGTTTTGAAACATGTTCGATAACTGATCACAATCATTAGTAGATGGAATAATTTGAGGCCAATCAATCGAGTTTAGATATCTTCCCAGGGCTCGTTTGGAACTTGGATTAATATTTCGCTTAAAGATGGTGCCATTAGAGATTAGATCTTTAGCTCTTTCCTTTGGAGATGAAATGATAGTATTGTGGTCGGATAGTCCAAAAGGGGGCATTATTAGAGGTTTTTCATAATACTCGTGCAGATTAGTTAAAATGATGTCGAGAATCGCATTTCTGCGGGTAGGAGTCTGAACTATCTGTTTCAGTTGAAAATGATGTTTGATTCTGTTAACATTAAGACGATTAAAGTCACCTGCAACTATAAGTGCGCAGTTTAGAAATTTTGACTCTGCCTTTTTTAATGACTGGAATAAATGGTCTCTCATAGAATAATCATCTGCTCCAGGGGGGTGGTATACTATAGCTACGATAATACATGAGAACTTGCGCGGAATACGAGTAGGTCTAAGGTGCAGCCATAGGATTTCGTGCTCCTGGCAGCAAGATAACTCTAAAATCTGTTTATATTTAACATCTCGGTTATTAACGCATGCACAAACCACACCATGGGATTTGTTAATTCGGTCCCTACGTATTATTGAAAAACCGGGAATGTTCACCACGCTGTCAGGAATAGAAGCTTTAAGCCAGGTCTCTGTGATAAATACCAGGCTGATTTGATTCCGGTGAATAAATTCGCGAACTTCGTCAACTTTTGGAACGAGTGACATGACATTAGACAGCATTATTTTTGGGACATGCTCAAATTTAACAGCTTCATCTAGTGGAATTTTAACCAAGTTAAAATCGGACGTTATATATTTATTCCGAAACCTCTTGCAATTGTAGTAATGAGTTGTTATTCTTACAGGAATGGTTTGACCCATGATCGTTTCTTTTTCCATAGTTTTTCCATATATTAGTATAAAATCGGAGACTGCACGATTATGCACAGCTAACTGTTGCTGTTCCTTGCACGATTATGTGCGTGAGCCACTTGCCTAACACGTAGTCGGCAGGGAGACAAAGGGTGTGACCCTTGCCAACGGGAACACCGCGGAAAAGCGTCTGCGCATGCGTCAACCCTACCTGTAAGGAAGAGATTATTTCGCTCGCCTCAGAGTGACAAAACGTAACAAAGCAACGGTTTTTACTAACACTAGCCCTACTCCAAACACCAAGTCTAACCCTAACCCTGATCCTAACCCTAACCTAACGCTACTCCAAATTCGTTTCTAAACCAATTTTGAAGAAAAAAATTTTGACAAAATGTCAGGCTGAGGCAGGGATTATTCTAAGGTGCAGTGATAATCAATTTGTGCAGTGATAAATGAGATTTGTGCAGTGATAAAATGCAATATTGTTCAGTACCAGAAATTGGCGAGAAAATGGCCACTCCTTGTATACTAATTTGCATATAATCCACATACAATGGCGTTCAGTTTCATGGGAATATACTGGGTGAAAATAAAGCATTCATTTACTAATGTTTCTATGGCATATTTAATCCGATCGGGTATCTTTCCTAGCGGCCAAGACGTGTTCAAGAAAATAACTTTTATGTCACTGTCTTCGTATAGTTAAACTCCTGCCGAGCGATTTTGTGTTGAGATTTTTGACGCTGTTTGGTGACACAATGAACAGTTTATAGAGTAATCTATTTCACGACTGTGAAAGACTAGATCTTAAGCAATTGGTGTTTTGCATGCGATTCAAACAATGTGATTTTTGCTCATTTGCTTGCATATAATTAGTGACATGCATGGGGTAAACTTTAAGTTGCAAAACAAAAGTACATGCACTCATGCAGGGCATGCAGTCGGAATATTTTCTATAGAATGTCTCCAAGTTTATATACATTTTATTATTTTTCGCGCTTTGTGCAGTGATAAAATTTCCTTAGAATAATCCCTGGTCTGAGGTCAGCGAAATAGTTGATGCCTACCTGTAATGAGGGTCCTGAAGGGGGGGGGGGGGAGGTCGTGTTCCCATTTCCCAGCCCAAATTTTGACTAAATCCCATTGTCCCAGAACACAAATTCCATCATCTTTGTAGCTGTCCTGCTCAAATCTTAATCCCATTCCCATTTTCTATTGTTTTTTTGCTGATGAATCCCAGTTCCAGTGCATGAAATCCAATTTTCCCACCCAAAAATAAGCAAATCCCAGTTCCCATTTTACCCCTTCAAGACCCTCTGTAATAGTATTGCGAACTTGACGAGAAGCTGTTCCGAACGTTTCCGAAGGCTCAAAATGGCTGTAAAAAGGAGTGACTTCATTGTGCGTCTTTACAGCCAGATTTCGAGCGCAAAAATAAACATGTCATTCTAAAACTAGGAATAAATACAGCCAGAAGGTTCAAGAAATTGTATTGTACAAGAACATGAACTAAAGGTGATTGTTGACAAATTTATCGTCTGAAACATTTTGTTTATCAACTAAGCAACCTCAATTTCCGAATTTTCGTTTGAGATACATTTCTTTAAAAAAAAACTGTGTAGCCAAATATAAGGTTTCTCGTGCACGACTCGATAAATCTGAAATCCTATTGTAGTTATGGATCTGAGTGGTTTTTTATCGCTTATTGTGAGCGGAAGATCTGTGTAGGAGAGTTTGTAGAGAATGTTTAAGTTACCTGTATAGTTTATTCTATATTATACATATCGCGACTATATAGATTTTAGTAATCAGTACATTGTTTCGCAGAAAAGTAAACACTACGATTATCATTGACCAATGGACAGTGATAGATCATGTAATATTTTCAATTAGACAGATGCATTACATAAACGATACGATATAATTATACGTTATTAGAATTTACCAAATATATGCTTCGATTTTTACCTTCGATACAATTATCTGAACCATCATTCAATAATACTTTACAGTTTGCAATAATATCATTACATTGAACCCTCAATTATATCAGTCTATTAAGCGTTTGGTTAGAGGTTTGTATTAAATGATGAGTAAGCACTTACCGTGTACAGTTTGATAGATAATTATTAACTACCACAGACCAATTATTTATATTCTGATAATGAACGGCACAGATTACCAAGCATGCAGTAGCATAGGTTGATTACAGCAATCACATGCAGTACTTTATATACTCAAATATGAACTTCAGTAAAGCGGTCACGGATATTTGAAAAGATATGACGAGTGAAAATTTGTTGTATGTGACGTTTAACAATTGTCAACATGCATGCTTCGAAGCGAGACCTGAATTTCTAAAGCTCAGTGGGATAAAATATCATTGAAAAGAGACTTCAATTCTTATTCAAATATATAAATATATGTTCAGCTTGTTAAGGAATTTGTTCTAAGCGGGGTCAGTCCTGTTTGTTTAAAAGTCAAACTATATATAAAAAATTAAACTATAAAAAAACAAAACTATATAGTTAAACTATATTTAACAATTATACCATGAGCTCGAGTCGTAATGGTCCCGCTATGCAAATATTTTCGTGTTCATTGACTGTGAAAACAATCAATTTCTAAAGAAATGAATAATGATAATAATTTGAATTTGCATAGCGGGACTAAATTGTCTGGCTGGCTACGCCACTGTATATGAGCTGATAGCCGACGAGGTGCGTAGCACCGAGAGCGAATGGTATAATTGTTTTTATAATATAGTCTAATATATAGCGATTAACTGAAGCAATAATTAATTATCCTCTGTTACAATGTCTTGACAATTTGTTTTGCCAAAAACCGCTTGGCCTTAAAAATTTGAAATACTTTTGTTTTACAACTCGAAGACGAAGTGAAAGAAATGGTTTTAGAACCAGTATATCTCACAGAAAAGCTTATATATATATATATATATATATAAATATATATATATATATATATATATATATATATATATATATATATATATATATATATATATATATATATATATATATATATATATATATATATATTGAAACAGGCCTGATTGGCAACGCGCAAGATGGTCACTTAAGCCGTGTTTACACTACGAGCCTAAACCTGGCCTGGGCCTACTTTTGGACTAGATTAAGTAGATTTTTGTAGTGTAAACGCACTTCGGCCTGGCCTAGACAAGAAAATCTGGGCCACTTGTTCTGATGGACCCAGATTTCCTGGCCTAGGCCAGACCGAAGTGCGTTTACACTACCAAACTCTATGAACACATTGTTTGCACTGTGTCATAGTTTAGATTTCTTACGCTGTATTTCTGTATTTCATAACAATTTGTTTAATATCAGCGACATGCACATGCTGCATGGATGTAGGCTACTGTAAGGGTTGGAATATTTTTAAGATCTACACTGTTCGTTTGCTCTTGTGACGTTGTGTGTGGCCATTGAACGTTACGTCATGCAGCTTTCGAAATTCGGATGTATAAGTCTCCACTGACTGAGGAGAAAATTTATGAAAGTACTGTTCAGATGCATATATTGGTGCGGTCTACAAACCAATCTGTATAATGGCCAGTGATATATTTCACGTGCAAGCACTCGAAACCCGCCACTTTGAGGCCACAGTCCAGATTTTATAATTCACTATTTTATACAAATAATGAATGTTTATGAGTGCAATGGTAAGAATATTTTCATGAGGTGAAAGATGGAATGTTCCATTCAACGAGGCGATAGCCGAGTTGAATGGAACATTCCATCTTTCACCGAATGAAAATATTCTTACCATTGCACGAAAAAACATTCATTATTTGTTTTATATAATACCAAAATAGACTAATAGGTTCGTATGAGAAGCATTTTGAGGGATGCGATTTATCGAAAACACAAAGAGTGCAATTGTACTATACGTTTTATTCCATTGCACTCGCGGGGAGTGCAATGGAACGTGTTCCATTGCACTCTTGGGAAATGGAATTTTCTATTCAATATCACGTGACCATAAACAGCCAATTAAATGATTAGAATTTAATAAGGTATTATACAGTATAAATTAGAATATATCATTAAAATTTTGGCTTTCTAAATATAGATGACAGGTTTGATTTTGTGTGAATTGTTTCTGAATATACAAATATTGGAGGTGTAGTATTTCCATACATCTTCACTGCTGCAGCTTTTTGCAGCTAGACACAGGCCGGATAATACTCCTATATTTAGGAAACATTTTGCGCAAAACACAACAATACGATTGCCAGAAAATTGACTAGATTGTAAAAATTTTTGCGCTTTTTCGGCATTTAAAGGCAACAAAGCACTACATTACCCGAGTATTGGGAAATCGAAATTTTTAAGATACATATCCACTAATTCAGACAGACTTCACTAATATTTCACATTATAAATCATATACTTTTCGCGTTCCTGTTTTTAAAGATTGCTACGGCCCTGAGAAGTAATAAACCGAAAGACATTTATACTATTAGATTTACGATTTGTTAAATGTTATCCATGTAAATGCCATGATTTCGTAAATCAGTTTATACTAACAAATAACAATTCAATTTTAGAAAATGCGGTATTCTGAATCGAATCTCAAATCAAATCCCACATCGAATCCTAACTAAAAATTCCAACTCGAATCTTAACTCGGTAAATAGCCTTCCTCATTCAAAATACTCACGAAATCTGATCAGTTTCGTGGTCAAATGAGCGGTCGACTGAGCGGAACTGACCAGCTGTGCTGGAAATCGTACGGTCTCCGAAATCGTCGGATAATTTTAGTGTAGTCTGAGATTACGTTAGCATGGACCGTGAAGAATTCTGAACCGCACACAAGTTACATAATTTCGATACCTTGAAAGCAGACGAGTTCAAGCACAGCCAACCATGTCGATTCTCGTGTCGGTGTGTATAATCGGAATTAATTATTCGGACGAATTTTCGTATTGTTGCGACATTTTCGAGTCTCGCGCATTAAACATATATAGTTTGAAAATATGGACAAACTTACCTGCAGTAATTTACTTTCGTTTTGTTATTTCAATGTCTCTCTGTCCGAGTGTAAACAGATCTCGTGATCTAAGCTTTTGCTAATCACCATGCATGTAAATGATGGGAACAGCCGGATGTCTTGGAACGTAATGCAATGGGCCATGAATTTTACCCGTCAATGCTGGATACAGACAATTGCAATTGACCGTGTGGCGTGCATAAACTAAACATTTGTTCTTCTTTTCAAACTCGATATTTTTTGGATGAAAGTTAACGTCATTAGTACAATATATTGTATGAACGAATAGCCGAATGTTCCACCTGCCACCAATAACTTTTGTCGTAGTTGTGCTCCGTGATCAAACATGGGTCGTTTGGTTGGCAGCCAGGCGCGCTCTTATATATGTAGTTCTTCGAGAAAATCAGTTTGGGCTGCGTCCTAGGCAGTTCTCATGATCATATGTCGTTCATCGGCGAAAAATGGAAACTGGGCTTAATGTATAGGTCAACGATTATGAATGCAAGTGTCTCTGTGGTTGTAAAGGAAAATGATATGAAATCGATATTGATTGGTGTGACGTCAGAACGAATAACGGTTCTGTATCATGTCACTATGGTATGCCAAGGTAGTCTGCCTAACTACACTTGCCTTTGTTTTGAAGGTTTCACTTACCAACTTAGTGATTTCCGCGTGCAATCGTCTCGACCCCAGAACTTCAGAGACTTCACAATATAAAAAATTAGAAATACGTCGTCTAAAGCAAAACATTCCCTACCTATATGGCGCTGTAGTGAAAGCTGGGCCTGCTCGTTTTGCTGGGCCAGTTGAATATTTGCTTCATATGAGTTTGTTATTTGCTTAAGACCCGGATCATCCACCCCTCAGAAATTTCGAGAAAAAATTTGAATCCCTTGAAAATTTCAAAAAAAATTTGCCCTTTCGAAAGTTTTCGTCAACAGGTAGTACCCCTTCAGAAATTTTCCTTTTACAACACACCTCGGAAATTTGAGCTTGGTATGCCCTCAGACTGATTCAGAATTGCAGTTAACAGGGGGTTGTGGAGTTTTCAAGAACAGCCACTGACCTAAAGAACATTCTAAATCAGGGGGGTGCAAGATTCATTTATTGTTGAAAAATATTTCAACTCAGTTTTTTTATTATAAGTTGTAGATGGAATATAAAGAATAAGAAAGCTTCTTACGTATAACTATTTTGTAGTTTAGAAGTATTGTGCTTGTAATTTTAGATAAATATTGAAAGGACACAAGTAAAGTGAACTCCCCCCGTGCGAAATGCGAATTTTGCTTTGTGACCAGGCCATATGTAAATTTCACGTTGTATTTCAAATAAACGTGGGAAAACAGAAATTTAAAGAAGTCAGAATTGGTCTTATTTTGTTCATATTTGTTGAATATAATGCCGATCTCTTCCAAAATTAGCAAGAACTTAATCATTGTGAGTATAAAAGTGTTGTATTATAAAATTTTAGATGATTTTTATTGGCATTTGTCGAGACTTTTATGTATAATACAGTACCAAAATATGCACTGCCCTGACATGACTATTTCTGTCAATGATTCAATGCATGTCATCATGTTTATACTGTGACAATACTTTTGTGATAACACTTGTTGGAACAACTTACTACAAGTCTGGTAATGCCGTCAACCAGACTATATAGTAGACTATATGGTACTGTAGCAAGTGCAGACTAATTGTAGCAAGGAGGCTTGTTTTGTAGCAAGCGTGATGGCATAATTTATCGGACTTGTTCCATCAACGTAGCTACAAGTCTCGTAATATTAACGTTTTTCTTACAAGTTGTTAACGACTTGTAACAAGCTTGATGACATACTTGATGTTACACAAGACATACTTGATGACATACTTGATGTAACAAGCTTGATGTTACATGGTTGTTCTAACAAGTCTGATACAGTCATGATATAAGAATATAATATTGCTACAACCTTAAATTGTGTCGTCAACCTCAATTGTAACATTCATGTTATATCATGACTGTATTAAACTTGTTAGTTATCAGACTTATCACAAGTCCGATAATGCCATCAAGCTTGTTACAAGTTGCCAACAGCTTTGTTGATATTATCAGATCTGTAGCAGATGGTTGTTCAACTAACAACTCCAATACATATAATAGTTTTGTTTGTGGAAATACCACGTAAATTTATTACTGCACAAAACTATTATATGTTTTATCGCCATGCAAACATACAAAGAACTTAAATCCAATACAGTCATGATATAACAAGGTTGACGACACAATTAGGTTGTAGCAATATTCTTATATCTAACAAGTTTGTAACAATATTGATATATCATGACTGTATCGGACTTGTTGGAACAAGCTTGCTACAAGTTTGATAATATCAACAAGCTTGTTACAAACTATTAGCAACTTGTAACAAGCTTGTTGGCATTATCGGACTTGTTACAAGGTGTTTTAACATGCCTGACTCTGATGCAGTCCTGATACACCTGTTGAAACGCACAAGACGTTGCTACAGTCTGCAAACGAGTTGTTACATATCTGTTCACAAGCTGTCAACAAGTTGTGTTTGCACTGCTTGTTCCCAGTTGTTGTAACAAGTTTGGAACAAGCTGTTAACAAGTTGTGACATTAACCTTGATGGCATTATCAGATTTGTTACAAGGTTGTTCTAACAAGTCTGATACAGTCATGATATAACAAGAATGTTACAAGGTTGACAACACAAGGTTGTAACAATATTGTTATATCATCATGACTGTATCGGACTTGTTGGAACAACCTTGCTACAAGTCTGATAATATCAACAATCTTGTTACAAGTTGTTAACAGCTTGTTCCAAACTTGTTGACAACTTGGGGACAAGCAGTGCGAACACAACTTGTTGACGGCTTGTTGGCAGGACTACTTGCTACAAGCTGTGAGATTTTTCTGTGTGTATAACAAGAATGTTAAGGCCCGTTTACACTTGCAATTTCGGTTGCGATTTTATGTGCGATTTTCTTCTTCTGATGCATGTGAACGAGTGGATGAGTTATTAATGTTCAGTCGATACTACATCAGTGAGACATCTACTCAGAACAAACAACTTATTTACTCCTTCACATCCATCAGAGGAAGAAAATCGCACTAGAAATCGCAGCAAAAATTGCAAGTGTAAACGGGCCTTTACAGGGTTGACAACATAATTAAGGTTGTAGCAATATTGTTTTATCACGACTGTATCGCACTTGTTGGAACAACTTTGCTACAAGTCTGAAATTATATCAAGTGAACAAACTTGCTACTGTACATGCTGTTAGCAACTTGTAACAAGTTTGATAGCATTATCGGACTTGTGACAAGGTTGTTTGAACACGTTTGATACAGTTGTGATACAACAACAATGTGACAAGGTTGACGACACAAGGTTGTAACAATATTGTTATATCATGACTGTATCGGACTTGTTGGAGCAACCTTACTACAAGTCTGTTAATATCAACAAGCTCTGTGTTACAAGCTGTTAACAACTTGTAACAAGCTTGATGGCATTATCGACATTTGCAAATTCGTAATCGTTGACCTAAAAGTTTGGATACATTAATATATCAGACTTGTTAGACTATATCAGACTTGTTTGAACAACCTTGTGACAAGTCTGATAATGCCGTCAAGCTTGTTACAAGTTGTTAACAACTTGTTCCAAACTTGTTACAACAACTGGGAAGAAGCAGTGCGAATACATATTGTTGACAGGTTGTGAACAGATTTGTAACAACTTGTTTGCAGACCTGTAACAACTTGTGCATTTTTACATGTAGGATAATCATTGATCGCCCATTTTCTCGGGATTGGGCAACTTTTTTGCTTGGGAACTTCTTTTGGTGGTGATGTACCTATATGCCTTTCAAATAAACCCCAAACAAAGTATTTCCCACATGGGTGCCACGAAGCGAAATAATTTTGGCTAACAGCCCACAGCCTATTAACCCTGGCCTGGAAATCGAAATGGTAAGCATAATCACTGCATGCAGGTAGGCCTATACTATCTAATCTAAAAGCTTTTTTTAAATTACCTCGCACTTGCAATGTCGATGCTTTTTGGCCAGACGAAACTTTACCGTTACCTACATGCGTAATGTACACATCATTGTAATCTGAAAACAAAAAATTGATATCTTAATATCCAATTATTATATCCAATCAGCGAGCCGTTAGGTTCACGAGGTTACATGTATACGGGACCGCACAGAGAAATTTGGGAGCCCGAGTGATTTTCTACCGTCAAAGACTCTTGAATTTTGTGTGCTTGTTTAAATGAATTGATTTCCATATTGTTGAACATTTAGAACAATTATATAGGCCTGGGGCCGGTTGTATAAAAAAGTGATTAAAGTTAACTATAGTTAGTGGAAACGTCATCCAATAAGAAGCGCGTATTTGAGAGTTTAATCACTATTTAACTACAAAATAATGATTAAAAAAGTGATTAATTAAGAGTTTTATACAACTGGCCTCAGTTTTATACGTCGAATTTTGGCCGTGTCGAATGCAATTCAAACAATAGATAATGAGATGATAATAACGGCTTATTGACCGAGCGTGAGGTCTGTACTGTGAAATATCAGACCGAGGTTTTTTAGTATGGACCGAGCGACGAAGGAGCGAGGTCCATGCAAAAAATAGAGGTCTGATATTTCACAGTACAGACCGAACAAGGGAGGTCAATAATCGGTTTATTATATCATTTATATGGCTGAACTGAGTCTGTAAGCATATGCTTTTCGCTCGAATTAAATCGGCTATCGTCAGTTTCACTGGGTATAACAATATACGGTACTAGGCAACGCGGTAGGCATGCATGCTCAATCAAAAACAATTTGGTTGTTTGCAAAAATTTCCCGCCCGGATAAACGACATCCGGGACACCGGTCCAGAGCGTTTGTCAACCAATCAGAATACGCCGAGAATTTTGAAAAGCCATATAATAAACCTCATGACACCAAGCTTCATTATCTATTGTTTAAATTGCATTCGACGTATAAAACACGCCTTGGCAAGATTATTTCCTTCGATTGTGAATATTGATGTAACATTTTCAATGTGTATTCTGCACTTAAATATAGTTCAGGTGAGGGGGGTTGGGGGAAAATTTTGAAATCAGAACTCCTAGAATAGCAACTTCTGTATTCTGCCTTCTGGGAAAATATTCAACTGCATGCGATTTTTGTGCATAGTATGTTACTTTATCCTTATTTAATTGGAGCCTAGCTAAAGAGCTGTACTTTCTGGGCGGCCCTGCCCCTGTACATATAGCTACATACAGTTTGAATCCGATGTATAATCGTTGTAATCGTTGTCGTCAAACTCGAGTTGTTTCATCTCGCTTGCGACGCTGTCGATATCATTTTGTTGACTATACTGGCACACTCCCTGCTCACACAACTGACAAAGATCCGTTTGATGCGGGGCAGACATATCTGCCGGGATATATCTGTTCTCTGCAGTTGCACTGGTGATGGGAACATCAATTTCACCATAGAACTTCTGCTGCACTTTATTCAGCAGTTCTGTGATCACACGTTCTACGTCTGAATCCTCCCAGTTAGCTGTTTCAAATACGTTGTCGCAATTCTTGCACTTTTGTCCTCCTAGAAACAGCTTCACGTTACCACATCGTTCATTTTGGGAAGGAGAAAGACGATAGCGAAATATTGCTCCACCCTTAACGGACGTCCATTTATTGCTGCACGTGCTGCATTCAAACCTTGCCATTCCCTTACGTTGCATTTTCAGCCATCCGCTTTCCTGCTCTACATTGCTTACTATTTCCAAATTCCACGGGTCATCCAGGTCACAGAACTGGTCGTCGAATTTGGTCTTCCATTCTTGATGAGCCATATTGCTGTAATCTAAAACAATTATAAACTAAAGCTTATCTCATCACTTTTTTTCAAACAGTTTGTATATGACATATCGTCTAATTTCTCTCTTTCGACACAGTAAATATAACCTAATTGCTAATTGTAAAAATTGTCAAAACCTAATTAAAAACTAAGACTCAAAGTATGGCATATTAAAAATATCATTCATTGGTCATATATGCAAAGGATTTAAAAACGTGTAAATGATGGATTTATTAAACCGTGAGATTGTCGGATTACGAGGGATTCAACAGTGCCAATTCGACGTTTCGAGCGAAGGCTCTTTGTCGTCTAACTTCCCGGCGACGAAGGCGTTGGCTTTTTCAACACAGACCGACCGCCTTGGGCAAAACAAAAATAATTCCATAGGGAAGTTAGTGACGACGAAGGAAGTTAGTGACCTTCGCTCGAAAAGTAGTTGAATTCATGTAGTTGAATCCTGACAAACAGACCGTAATTCGGGTTTATTAAACCTTGTGTATACAATAACATACACATGGAAAACACTTTAACTGATCATGGCATACACCCCTTAGCCCTTAATATAGGTCTGGTTCGGACGGTCGGACGAAGCACCTTCAAAACGTCGAAAATAGTTCCAAGTTTTGAGGAATGTGTGCCAAAATATAAACGTCAATTAATTTCGAATTCTTTGTTCCCGGCATTGCATGCGGCCGTGCAGCAGTCGACGGAAACTTCTAACATTTTAATTTCACACACAATTAAAAAAATAATTTTCCAACTTACATAAAATTTCTTCGATTTCAGATCAACTCTGCCAGCTAGCTTCACCAAGTAATTTGAACTGCGCAATGAATTAAATATTTATAATATTTTCTATAAAATGAAACTAGACGTGTAGTTGTTGCAGCCGCAAAAAATGAAAACAATTACAAAGCAGTTTGGGACCTGTTTTGCCCGTTGCTATAATAATGAATTTATCACATCAACTCGGTGGCGAGAACACGAATAGGAATGGAGGCGTCTGCCCCCCTCTCCACTTTTCTTCGAGACCAATTTTGCAGTTTCTGATGAGAAACAAGTCCCGAGAGAGTTTTATCAATGAAAACACTTAAAGTCAGGGTGCCAAAAATTGAAGTATCTAGTATCGCCTTATTTTGTGTCTATATTGTATATTAAATATTCATAATTCTCGGTTTATACCTGTTAAAACAATTCTCTTAGTGGTTAGATTTTAAAACCGCGTTTTTGCGTGGAGCTGTTTTTCCAGAACGCAGTAAATGCCGTTTGAATTTTGAACGAGTGTGGTTTGGGGATATTATGAATATTTTTCATTGTTACTTCATGTAAGCAAAATATTGTGGTGCTTAAATTTTCCTGTTCAGTCACTGAACTATATATAGTCATAATATAGTTCACTGGTTTCAGTGGGCAGAGCTATTAATTCATTCTTTGCATTCCTTACGTAATAAGAATTTATATAACCATCAGTTAGCCGTCTTTTGCCAAAAACCCAATGAACCACGCATATTCCTCAATGACACCGTAATAATTTTCATTTATTTTTTCTAACGGAAAGAATGATTGTAAAGTCCTTAATCGATTCTATTTGGCTCCTATAAACGCTTACAGATGTAAAATAAATTTTGAGTATTACTTACGATCGCATTTCATTTTCTCCTAACCTCTTTATTTATCAAAC